CTATTTACCAGCCAGCACAGATTGTCTCAATATAACAACCATTATATGCAAACTCGGACTTACTGGTTGAATACAGCTGGGATTTAAGTACCAGCTGGAGGTAGAGGGCAAGGGAATGGCTGATCTAGCTTGGATGGGCAGACTTTTTTAGGAATTGCACCCTCTGGTCAAGATGTGCCCAGCCCAGCCAAAGGGCCTGGGGAGCCCTTATCCTGGATTCTGCTCAAGCTCACCCATCGAAGGTAAGGGGTGGGGATGAGAAGCTGACGAGTGGGTATCCTTTCTCACTCTTTTCCACCCACCAGATCAATGAACTTATTACCTTAAAGTGCCTGTCTTAACCCTACATAATTCTGTTCAACCGCAGAAGTGGGTCTTGGATTGAAATCCAATTACACAGCCCAGTACTGCATATAAGCATAACCAATGGACACAGACAATAGGAGGCTGAAGGCCTGTGCGCGGGGGGCGGGGGCGGGCTGGGAGATGTCAATGGCAGGAAAAGGGGACATATGTAATACTTTCAACAATAAAGAATTTAAAAAAATAGCCAAGTACTAACATGAACCCTCAGAAGTCGTTCTATGTCACTTCCCTCCTCTGAGCCTCAGTTTTCACATCTCTAAAATGGCAATAGGCCCACTTTAATGAGGCCATGGTCAGCATGCAAGGAGTGACAGTTACTATTACAAAGGAAGGGCAACATGATGGTGGTGCCAATGGTGATGACCTCGGGGCCCTAGAAGTGGAATGACTGGGTGAAGAGCTAAGCGCTCTCTCTGAGACGATTCAATTGGTCTGAAACCTGAAAACTGGGCAGAGTCTTCGAATCCAGACTGAAGCCCTTGTCCAACTGACTCTCACCTGTTCTTTCTCCTGCTGTGGTCCACCTGTGCCCATTACACCTGCCAGCCTGGCTTCTCCACCCTCCACCCTCCACACACACACACACTGCACTTTCCAGCACCCTCCACACACACACACACACACACACTGCACTTTCCATTCTTCAAGTCTTTGCCTATTCTGTCCCCCACCTCACCCACTGCCTGTCTGTTTCTCCATCTCCCATCACCTCACTCTTGCCGGTGCCCCTGTGGGGGCCCACCTGGCTGTGCGGAAGACGAGGCTGCTGCCCGGGCCCCTCTCGTCCTCCTGCAGGTGCTGGGAGGCCATCAGGAGGCTGTAGTCCAGCAGGTTGAGGTCCCGGAGGAAGGCGGTGTCCAGCTCCATCTGCCGGAGGAGCCAGCTCCGCTGGGGCCCTGAGGGAGCATCAGCACCCGCCTGAGTCCCCGGCGTGTGCCGGGCAGTGCTGAGGCTCCACACCCACCTGCCCCAAAGGGTAGGTGTCATTACTGCCCCATGTCACAGATGAGGACACTCCTCTGTAATCTGCCTTGGCCAACTAGCTGGTAAATTGTGGAGCTGGGATTTGAACCCGAATCTGGGTTCTTAACAACTTGGACAGAGGGCTGTGCCAAGGACACCCTCCAACTTCCCCCCGAATGGAGGCAGAGCAGGCAGTGAGGGCTCCGAGGCTCACCCAGGTCGATGGTCTTGCCCTGAAAGTTGAGGTCCTTCAGCACCAAGACCAGGGGGCTGCCCTCAGGGGCCGGCTCCACCCAGCGGCTCACCTCGCAGCCCTTGATGTCATACCTGGAGGCAAGGATTTGGGGGACACAACAGAATTCAGCTTTCCACAGACTTGGGACACACGGGGACTCTCCCAGGTAATAACAAGACAGGAGCTTCCACTGGTGACTGTCCAGATCCGCAGCACAACCCCATTCTCTCTCCCTGGGCCTTGGCTTCACCATCTACCTGGTGAGTGTGGGTGCCTCCAGTGGCACATTCCGAGCAGGACGGGACCCAGGCCCTGCGAGGCCAACTCACCTCTCGGCGATGCGGCCGGCGGGGTAGAAAACGCTCTGCATGATGATGAAGTATTTCTGGGGACGAGGTAGGGAGTGAGGAAGGACAGGATCTCCCCGCAGCCACCCCTCCGGCCCGGCCCCTGCCTCGGCCTCACCCACCTTCTTGCCCCGGGCCACCCGCAGGCTGTGCACTCCTGGAAGGGGACAGGGCGCCAGGTGAGGGGCCCCAAACTCTGCCGTCCGGGTCCCTGGGGCCCTGGTCCCAGCTCCAGGCCACGCCTCCTCAGTGCCGTCGCATCCCGAGCCCCTCCCTCCAGCTGCGCCCCCAGACCCCTTCCTCGGCTTGGGTGGTGGTGCGGACTCCATCCACCTCTAGACTCAGCCCCAGAGATGCCGGGTCTGGCATGGCCTCGCCCACATGCCCTGCCCAGGACGGTCCAATCCCAATCCCAACCCCATCCTTTGGGCCCTGCCCACCGCCCCTCCTGCCCACTCCCTGTCCCTACCGCCCTGCACAGAACTCTGCGGGCAGTCGGATCCGCCTCTAGTCCAGTCCCAACCACCTGGCTAGGCTCAGATACCCCACGCCCGCATTCTGGAACACCCCCACTCCCTGAACCCCTTTCCTTCCTCCCCCCACCCCCCAGTGTCAGGTCCCTGGCCCGTCCTACCCAGCAACCGTGCCAGGAGCGAGTGTGGGTGCCGCTGCAGGTGCTGCAGGTAGCGGGGCAGGTGGGCGAGCAGCGCCCGCACCTCCCTGCGCCGCTGGGTCTTCAGGAAGAAGCGCTGGTCGTGGCTGGTGCGGGGGCAGGGAGAGGTCACTCTAGGCCGGGCTGGAGGGTCCCACAGGCTCCCTGACCCTCCTGTCCATGTGTGGCTCTGTCTCCCCAGGGCCAGGCCCTCGCCCTCAGCCTCTCCTCTGACCTGGCTGTTCTATTTCTCTCCCCAAATGCCACCCTCCACCCTGGGACACCACTCCCACCCTGCCCCACCCCTGCTGCCCGCTCACGACAGGAAGAAGCTGGCGTTGCTCTTGGAGGTGCTGAGGAACTGCAGGTAGGGGCCCCCGGGCCCCAGGGCGGCCTGATAGTCCTCCTCGGCCAGGCCTAGGGAGTGGCGCAGCCAGGCGAAGGCAGGGCCAGCCAGGGTGCCCAGCTCAAAGCCCTGCAGGAGAGGAAGAGCAGCCCCAGAGTGTCCACCGGGGTCCTGGTGTGTGCAGTTGGCCCTGGTGCGGGACGGTCAAGGGAGCCACACCCTCTGGAAGGCCGTGAGGCTCTACACCCGTGGGGGAACTGAGGAGAGGGAACTAAGATGGCATCCGCCCCTCCCTGCACAGTCTGAGGCTTCCTACCTTGTGAACCTGGGTCAGGACCTCGGAGAAGTCGTCCTCAGTGGGCAGCCCCTGCAGGGAGGGGCAGAAGGCTCAGAGCAAGTCTCAGCCCCCGCCCCCCGCCCGCCAGCCCCAGGATCTCCAAGCGTCCACACCTGGCCTCCCCCCTTCCCCCAATTTGATTCCTGAGTTGGGCAGATGGGGGCTGCAGACCCTCTCAGGCTGCAGGAGGATGAGAGAGTGACCTGAGGCAGGTCCTGGGTATGACTCCTCCACAGCTGGGTCCCCAACACCTGGCACATTCACCCAGACACACACACTGGCTAAGTGCAGCTGGATGATGGCCTTGAAGGCCAGGGGCCTGCCTGACTCAGCCTGGGAGGGGCAGATCAGAGAGGGCTCCCTGGGGGAGGTGACCTGCAAGCTGAAATCTGACGGGCAGTGGAGAGGAGGAGGAGGGTGCTCCTAGCAGTGGGAACTGCGCTGGTGGTCACCAGGAAGGAAAGGAGGGCCCGAGGGGCTTAACTGAGTAAGGGGGGGATGGAGGGAGAATGAGGCTGGACAGTTGATCCTGAGGCCATGATGAGTACTGGGGAGCCATGGGAGATTTTCAGCAGGTACTGAGGTCAGATTGTGATTTTCAGCAGAGGATGAGATTTAGAAGATGCCCTCTGGCTCCTATACTCTCCCTGGACCTCTAGGTTCCTGTGCCTATGGGATGTGGTCACACTGTGTGCGCACACACAAACAACACACATGCTCACCCGGCCCGTCCAGATGCTGAACTTGCAGTTGGGCAACGCTTTCTGCTGAGCCAGCCTGGCCCCAGCCTGAGCTCTGGGGAGGACGGGCCATGCTGGCGGGGTGAGGTGGAGTGGGGTCCCTTCTCAACCATAGACCCTGGCAGAGGTGGGGGGGCCTCAGAGACTAAGGCATACAACTCCCTCCCCCAAAGTCATTATACATTACACAGATGGGGACCCTGATGCCCAAAGAGAGGCAGAGGCCCGCCTAGAGTTACACAGCAACCACCTGGGTCAGGGTGTTCTCACATCCCCAACACATCCTGCACTTTCTGGCTTCCTGGCCTCAGCCCCAAGCCTAGAATGTCCCTCCCTCCCTACACCAAGCCCCTGATTTCCTCCCCTTATAGCCTTTCTGATCACCAACTCTTCAGTAGCAAATCAGGGCCGCGGCCCGGTCTTGCCATCGGTGCATAGAGCAGATTGGCCACTCACCCTGGGTGGGTGGTCCATGGAGACCTGGGTGGCAGCCCAGAGCCCTGCCTGCATCATACACGTCAGCCGGTGCAGCTCATGTCCCGGGCTGATCTCAAACAGGCCGAGGCGCAGCTGCTTGTCTCGTAGACGCCAGAGCAGGCCCCGGCGGCCAGAACGCGAGGTGATGGCTTTGCATCCAGCTTCTGGGGAGGGGGCCAGGACCTGGTGGCAGAAGGCACAAGAAGCATTGAGCATGTGGCAGCATCGCAGAGGGGAAAGACATGGGTGTGAGTGCCACCTCCACTACTTTGAGCCCTCCTCTTAGCTCGCTCTGCCTCAGTTTCCTCGGTTGTAAAATACGGCTAATGCTGGTACCCAGCTCACTAGGCGCTATGAGGGGCCACACAGCCCCTGACGTGCAGTCAGCATCCAAAACAGAGTGATGGTTATCATTAGCAGTAAGTCAGAGCATGCAGTTCTGCAGCCAGACCTGGCCCCAGACATCCTCTCACCAGTTGTGTGGCCTTAGGTAAGTCACCTAACCTTCGGGGCCTGGTGTTCTCATCTGCAGAACGAGAACTATAACATCGCGGCAGATATTAGCTGCGGTTACTGTTGAGTTTGAGCTCTGTGCACAGGGACCCTTGATAGGAGCCGTGATGCCAAGGGATTCAGCCAAGTACCAAGTAGTCCACTCATCTATGCTGAGCTCCTCCAGGCCAGCTCGGAAGATGAGCACGAAGCTGAGATCAGCCGCTGACCGTCCGTAGTGGGCACCCACCATGTGACCAGCCCTGGCTGAGAGCTTGACCTCCTAACAGCCCTACGAAGGAGAAGCTTTTATTATCATCTCCATTTTCCCTGCGAAAAAACTGAACAAGTTCTCAGGGGATCCCTGCCAGACTTTCCCTTCATACCTGAGGTTCCCACGTGGGGCGTGTCCTGGTCCCCGCCCAGCGCAGGACCCCTGCTGAGCTCAGATGGGGGTGTGTCCACCCCGCCCGGAGAGGGGAGGCCCGGCTCCTACCCACTAACCCTTCCCTCTCCTCTCCTCTCTCGGGTCCGCACCTACCTCGTGGGGCCCCGGGCTCGGGGCGGCCATGGCCCC